CATGCATTTAACTGCACGAATGCCATGCGGAAATGTAAAATAGAAATAAAACAACAGACTCCACGAACGAACATTGTTCGCGCATACAAAACACATGTAAACGTGAGATATTTACATGTGATGAGATCTATATATAAGTAAGGTATATAAATAAAATACAAGATAATTCATAGGATTGAATGAAAGTAAATTTGGTATATTAAAAAAAGTTGGGCAATATTAAGGGACCTATTCTGCCGCATAACAGACCATTGTTATGGCAAGGCTATGTTATGAAAAACTTTCCATACTAAATTTGACAAAGCCATGTAGTTGCTGTGCAGAGAGGCGATTTTCTCAGGTTGTCAGATAGAAAACATAACTGAGAAACTGCACAAATGTCAAAAAAACGATCTTAGATAACAGGGTCTTTCTGACTCAGCTCCATAAAATACGATCGACGTTGCAGTTTATGTGTAAAACGCCAGAATGCACCTCAAATACATGACATTTTGACAGTATTCAGTATAATTCAGTAGCATAATGTATGAAAGTCGGAGCGTAACATGGCCTTGCCACAACATTTGTCCAAGTTTGACTACGTGTAAGTGGCATTTTGCCAATAGAAAACATTCAAGAACATCTGGCTGTATATTTTAGGTATTTATTGCTGAATGTTTTTTTGTCGATTTAAATGTAATTTTGTATGACGATAGATTTTGTAATCTAAAATGACATACTAAAATATTATAGGCCTATGGTAAAGGGTTGAATTAAAAAAAAAAGCATAAAGTTTAGAATTCGCCCCGCGCATTACCGATTCTAATTAGAATCTAGGCCGAACATATTTTCGTTTTGTGTTTCGTAGGTATCTACTGATTGCAGTTGACGTTCACGCTTAAATAAAATGCATTTTTAGAACCACAAGTAGATGAAATGAAATGTGTTACAAAATAATGTATACAATTACAGATATTATAAAGTATGTTAAAAAGACTTCATTTGGAAATCGTATTGATTCTTTTTTAGTGAAAGCGAAAATTTTACTATTGAACAATAAGGAAGCGTCTATTTTTCACGTTAGGCTTTCGGGGGAAGGGGGGGTTTGACAAAAAATCACAAAATATCACGTGGAGGAGGGGGTTTAGTAAGATATCACATGTATTTATTTTTTACATGAATTTTTTGAAAAAATCCAGACATATAAAAAAAAATTTAAAAGATTAACGATTTTTTCTTCAAACTAAAAATACGCGTGATGTTTGGTGTGAGAGGGGGGGGGGTAATTTTAAATACCACCACGTATCACCAACGGGGAGGAGGGTTCAAAAATTTCCAAAAAATCGGTCACGTGATTAATGGACACCCCCTAAACAGTTGAACATTTTACCACTATGGCTGAAACTCAATTTTTATTGAGTTGATTAAGTTGATTATGAGTATGTATCGAGAAGTTTATGCAACTTGCCTTCAGGCAAAATGTTATTTATTTACAACTAGTTATTGATGCA